AACGTCACTTGATTTCCACCTTCCTGTGTCTATCACAACAGAGCAAGTTTTAAAGGAGTTTTTGGAAATAAATCCGCTGGTCCTGATGAGTTATCCCCAGTGGTCCTTAAAACATGTGCAAACCACTTCGCACAAACCGTTTCATTTATCTTTAATACATGTCTGTCAGAAGGAAGAATAGTTAACACATGGCGTGATGTTTGCATCACTCCAATACCTAAGAAAGAAAAGAGTAAGTTTCGGCCTATTGCTTCATCTTCAGTATTACTTAAGACTTTTGAGCGTATTACCTATCCACCTCCTATCCTCACCTATCCTCCAATCTTGATTTTCGTGATTCCACTCAGTTTGCTTATTGTAAGCGTCGCTCTACTTTCGATGCGGTTGCTTGTCTTATACATTCTATTTTATCCACTATAGACCAAAAGCACAAAATTATTCACTTTTGTTTCTTGGACTACACAAACGCGTTTAACCCTGTCGACAGAAACATCCTATTGACACTGTTACGGCGACATAATCTCCCTCCACTTCTTTTGAATTGGCTGCACGACTATTTTACCGACCGACGCCAATTCACTTGTTTCAATGATATTAGGTCTTCTGCTGTTACTGTAAACCAGGGTGTAGTGCAGGGAGCAATTTTATCCCCTTTTCTGTTCTCCTTTTATATCCAAAATTTGCCAGTCACCCCAAATGCTTTCACTTTTAAATATGCCGATGATTTAGTAGTTGGTGGTGCATCTCACAACAACAACCCGTCAACTAACCCCCTTCAATCAGCCATAAGTTCCATTTCTGAATGGTCCGATGGTGTTAACCTTTCTTCAAACCCCAACAAATGCATTGAAGTTTTGTTTTCCATTGACCGTAGGCCATCAACTATTTCTGGATCATCTGTTCCCAATATCTTGATCAATAACTCAAAAGCTGAAAGGTTAAAACACTTCAAATATCTTGGATGTTTTGTGTCTGCTGACCTCAAATGGTTCTATCACGTAGAACAAACATTTCTTAAAGTCAGAAATTTGACCTTTTATGTTTCACGCCTTCGGCATCTGAAGGTGCCATTGTTCATCATCTCCAAATTTATTTTCTCATGCGTTTTATGCCATTGGACCTACTGCTCTCCCGTTATTTTTCCCGGTCTACTGTCTAAGGATTTCATATTAATTAGACGCTCTCTGAAAAGCATCTCTAGATATGGAGCTGTATCTTATGAGGAGCTGGTTGATTCCATTGTCAACCAACACCCGAATGCGTGTGACCGTCTGTGTGACTCTATCTTGTCCGATGCGTCACACCTTTTACACAGCTCTATCTAGCTCCATTTTAACTTCTGTAACCCGTAATAAATTTAAACCTTTACATACTCGTACCATTGCTTTTCACAACTCCATTGTACCTTACCTTTCACGTTTGTTGGTTTCTAGGGAGCGAATATCAAACGAACTTACACACAGTCTAATGTAAATTTTCACCTTGAAATTTTCTTTATTTTTTATACGTTCTCAGTAACTATTTGGCATATCTTAAAATTCATGTTTAATAGCGTGCAATGCCAAAGCAAAAGCGATACCATTCTTTTCACTGAGAATTCTGTGCATATTGGATGAATAAAAAGCACTGTTAACTTTGACTGACTTTTATATCGTTTTACTGATGATCATCTGGCAGATTGCAGTCGTCGGTGCGATCCAATAAAATCAACAGAACGCTGCTTGGTACCTTCAGGCTTTTTTAGGCCGCTCCCGTTGAACGGGTCACGATTCTTCTCTAATTATAGCCAGCACCATCACCACCATTCTATATTCGTCCCAATCAACTTCAATCCAGGATATGATCCATAGTGCCCTGGGGTCATAGTTGTCCCACATGTTTCCCACAAAGTCGTCTCGTCACTGCGCTCAACCGGCACGAATGTTGTACAAAAATACATGACCAGATGCAAATGCTGTGTTCAGCACATGCACTGAATTGTTTGATCTATTCTGTTCCCGGACTGATAGTTCTGGTTTTGAGAACTTGTGGGAAGACAAATGAGTCATAATAATGAAGGCAACGCATACAAACATCCATGCACGGTCATTCCTCTACTCCCCCAACTGTTCTGTGCTGTCGGTGATCGGATCGAAATTCTATCTATCTATCTATCTATCTATCTATCTATCTATCTATCTATCTATCTATCTA